TGCAAGTGCCGTAAACCTCTTACCAAATGTGTTGCAAGTGCCGTAAAACTTTTACCAAATGTGGTGCAAGTGTCCTAAAACTCTTACCAAATGTGTCACAAGTACCGTAAAATTCTTTTCAAATGTGTTGCAAGTGCCGTAAACCTCTTACCAAATGTGTTGCAAGTGCCGTAAACCTCTTACCAAATGTGTTGCAAGTGCCGTAAAGTTCTTACCAAACGTGTTGCAATTGCCGTAAACCTCTTACCAAATGTGTTGCAAGTGCCGTAAAGTTCTTACCAAATGTGTTGCAAGTGCCGTAAAACTCTTTACAAATGTGTTGCGAGTGCCGTAATACTCTGGCCAAAACTAAAAAAGCCAACCCCAAACCAACTGAGACAAACCTCATCAAATTTCTTTTTGTTATACACCACTGGTCTTGTGGTTTATGTTCAGCAACGTTGATTAAAGAATACTAGGTCGTTGTGCTGAAATCGTTAATCGATACAGTACGCTGGTCGATGAATGTGTGAGGACTTACGCGTAGATATAAGTGTGTTGTTATCCATACGGTTGATGATGGAATGTTCGCGGTAGGCTGTTATCCTGACTGAGCCGATTAGGCAACCCCCCCCCCCCCAAAACAAAAAAACAACAAAAAAACAAAACAAAACAAAAAACATAAATAAAAAAAAAAGTTATTTTATCATGTCACTCTCACGATTGGAGATTTGATAGTGGGTGGTTGGCGGGTGCTCTTGAGTGGTTTCCTTCTTCTTTCCTATCAAACATCTATCATCTTTATCTCCCCTCCCTCTCTTTTGTATTTGTTACTCTCTTGTAACACCTCTGATCTTTGACACTCTTACTCTTACTAAAACAAAACAAAAAAACAAACAAAAAAGACGAAAAGGTTATGTTATTATGTCTCTCTCCTGATTGGAGATTTGATACCCTTTCTCACCTCTGGTCTAGTGGTTAGGCTACCAAACGCATTGTGAGATTGCGGGCTCCCGGGTTCCAGGCTCAGCTGGGCCCAAGGTTGTGTCCTTGGGAAGGCATATTACACACATGTTCCCATTCATCTCGCTGATAACGGACATGTCGTTGAATTCGGAGGTCACGCCTTTTAAATAACTTCACAGTGCTGCTTTAGTGTAGTTTTAGTAAGAGTTTTACGGCACTTGCAACACAATAAGGTCATATAAGTGCCGAGGATTAGAGATGTTACAAAAGAGTAACAAGCACAAAAAAGAAGGAGGGGAGATAGAGACGATAGATTTATTATAGGGAAGAAGGAGCAAACCTACAAGAGCACCCGCCAACCACAGGGCATTGAACCTTAAGCCTACAATTTCCTTCTCGCCTTTTTGAGGCTTTATCTAATCAGACCCACCGCCGTGGGTGGCTGGCGGGTGCTTCTTCTTTCCTTTCAAACACCTATCGTCTTTATCCCCCCCCCCTCCCTCCTTTTTTATGTTTGTTACTCTCTTGTAACACCTCTAATCTTCTGGCGCTCATATGACTTTATGATGTATTCTTCTGACTATATATATTATATTTTTTTACCTTTGGGTTTTGAGTGGATATTTTGGTTTCGTCCTTCCCACTCTCATGTGGCTGTTGAAATTGTAAACGCAGCTTCACAACCAGTTATCGCTTCCGCCAGGTCAGATTAAATTAATGCATTATTCATGACTCAGACCTTGGTGCAAAAGACAAAAAACACCCCCCTCTCTCTCTCCCCCCTCTCTCTGTCTCTGTCTGTCTCTGTCTCTGTCTGTCTCTGTCTGTCTCTGTCTGTCTCTGTCTCTGTCTCTCTGTCTCTCTCTCTCTCTCTCTCTCTCTCTCTCTCTCTCTCTCTCTCTCTCTCTCTCTCTCTCCCCCTCTCTCTCTCTCTCTGTCCCCCCCTTCTTCCTACGGGTTTGGGGTAATAGTTAACCCCCCCTCTCTGTCTCTATCTATCTATCTATCTATCTATCTATCTATCTATCTATCTATCTATCTATCTATCTATCTATCTATCTATCTATCTATCTATCTATCTCCCTTCTCCCGAAAAAGACAAACAACAATAATAAGAAAGAAAAAAAAATCAAATGTGGAAAATATAATGAGAGAATCACAGTTCGTTCACAAGGCAGTTTGCTCCTAAAGCGTTATTTTCATGCAGGGCAAAATAATTATAGTCATGAATTGCTCTGAGATTAAAACCCTCTCCCGGTGCAGCTTAAATCTCTACACCACGTCCTAGAAAGAAAAACTGATGCATTTTGCAACAAAAAAACAAACAAAAACAGCCAACTATATCTGATTCTGTTTCGCAGGTACTCTCTTTTCACTAGCACGATAGAGCATTTATAATATCAAGCTTAATGACTTCATACAACTTGACACGACTTGACGATCATGTCAAGATAATCATGAGCTTACATAAATGTATTAGTCCTGTGTGTTATGTATACGTCTCTTGTCAGTATCCTTGTTACCATATTCATCTGATTCTTGGCCTACCTCCAAGCCTTTCAAACGGGTGGTTGGAGGATGCCACATGCTGGTCCTACTTCTTTCTTTTCCCCAGCACTAAATGACCACTATTGTGCCGATGTGTTTCTCTTTACCCCCCCCCCCCAAACAACAACAACAACAAAACAAACAAACAATTCATATCCTTAAAAAGAGGTGTTGTTATAACTTTCCCAAAACAATACAAATTTTAAGATAAGTTCGGTATGTGGGTGGTTGGCGGGTGCTCTGGTGTGGTTTCCGCCTTCCTTCCTTGTTTATGTTTGTTACTCTCTTGTAAAACTACTAATCTTCGGCACTTATATGACCTTATTGTGTTTGAAAGTGCCGTAAAATTCTTATTAAAACTACCCCCAAAAAAATAAAACAATAAAACAGCAACAACAACAAAACAAAACAAACAAACAATTCATATCCTTAAACAGAGGTGTTGTATGAACTTTACCAAAACAATAACAATTTTATGATAAGATACGCTATGTCACCTGGGTCATTTCTTAACCCTATCCGCACGTCGTGTTTTACTATCGTATCCATACGAAGTGGGGAACTCTGTGCCACCACGTTCAAAGAGGAAATTTACTCTTTAATCCGACCCGTACGCTTCGCATAGCAGTGTGTCAAATAATGTTTTGAGAAATACTGAGAGTTTCAAAGAGATCTTCATACTAGAAGTATTCTAAAATGCGAAGAATACAACCCTGGGGGTACAAAATGACCACAGGGCGTACGGATAGGGTTAAAAAAGTGATGGAGACGTGTAACGCAGGGGTGATAACCTGCTAAGAAAAAGACAAGCAACGATAAAGCCATTCTACTTTTTTCTTTTAAATTAGAGGAAGGTTACGTCTAAAGTTAAACAGCGACTGAAAAGAAAGAGTAAGAAATGGCTCTATCACTGCTTAGCGGGGTGGGTTTTTCCAGTTGGTTCTTAACTCCACGTCACGTATGTCACTGTTCATGGCCTGTTCCAGTTTGACGACTTGGTTTTTTTCGTTTTTGTTTTTGGAAGTGTTTAGCGGAGGTCGCAACTGCACAAGGTTATATGGGCTCGCAGAACACACGGAACATTATTTTTCAGTTGGTAGACAATTTTGAATTTTGCCCGGGTGGCTGCCAAAGCCTACTCTGATCAATTTTATACCACCAACGGATCTTCAACGTGCGGAATTGGCACTCGGGACCTCCGAGATTTTTCGCCCTTGTCTGAGAAGGCTAGATGTAGATCTTACCTACCATAAGATCAGGGGTGTGGCTGAAAGACAGCATAAAGAAAGAATCAAGGAGAAGCAGGAGAAAGGTTGCAGAAAGAGTCAGGAGCCCAGGGGAGGGCGCAAGGGAGATGAGTGGGTGGGGACAGAAAGAGGAGACGAAAGTAGACGACAGAACATCGCTAGAGAGAAGGAAAGGAGGTGAAAGGGGAAATTTTAGAGAAGAAAATTTTCCGTCGCCATCCGGGTTCGAACCCGGACCTACTGAACGAGAAGGGAACACCTTAACGTCTAGGCCACAAGAGCCCACGACTTGGTTTCTACCAAGAAGAGACTAAAAAAATGGCGCTAGATATGTCGTAAATGGGGTATGCTGTGTCGTTAATGGAGTATGCTGTGTCGCTAGTGGGGTATGCTGTGTCGTTAATGGGGTATGCTGTGTCGTTAGTGGGGTATGCTGTGTCGTTAGTGGGGTATGCTGTGTCGTTAGTGGGGTATGCTGTGTCGCTAGTGGGGTATGCTGTGTCGCTAGTGGGGTATGCTGTGCCGCTAGTGGGGTATGCTGTGCCGCTAGTGGGTATGCTGTGTCGTTAATGGGGTATGCTGTGTCGTTAATGGGGTATGCTGTGTCGTTAATGGAGTATGCTGTGTCGCTAGTGGGGTATGCTGTCATTACAAGTTAGTGTTTTAGAGCCTATAAATGGCTGTTGGCACTGTATTCTTCCCAGGAAGTTGAGGTTGTTTCAGAATGCTCTCAGGTCTGCTGGGGTGATAGTATAGATTGTGAAGCGCATAGAGCTTGCTGTTGAGCGGAGATTTGCGCTATACAAATGCTATCTATATACAAGGTTTTTTTCAAGTCGACAGGTTCATCTTGCCCTCCATCTCTATCTGGGTTTTCTGTCTCACTTTGATTACCCTATCTCCAAATGAGTCTGCTTTCACCCCTGATGTTAAAGTTTTTATAACGCTAAAATATTGATCTACTTGAATATTCGTACAATTCTTGACATATAACTGAACAACTGTCGGTTGTGACAGTTCTGTCATCATGCGCTCACCTCATGATCAACACTGTTACCCTCATGACCGGGTGTATTGGTTCACTGATATATTCTGGGGAAGGGCAGCATTTATTTTTTAAATGATCAAACTCGGTCTCTCAAGGTTTTATTCACGTTGTTCTGTTTAATCTTATATCTCTACGTATGTCCGTCGTTTAAAACCGTTGTTTGTGTTATCTCTTTTTTCCATAAAAGTTGTTTGACTGTTGTTCTTTTATTTAAGTAGCCTGCTGCCCTAAACGCCAGGTGGCGTAACGGGTACTAAGTAAGTAAGTAAGTATTTAAGTAGCCTAGGCTACCGGACTCGTAACTGTGTGATTGCGGGTTCGGGGTTCGAGCCTCAGCTTGGCCCGACGTTGTGTCCTCGGAAAGGGCACTTCACATTGACTTGGTCCTTTCGGAGATGGACATTAAACTCGGAGGCCCCGCGGCTTAAATAATCTAACAGTGTTGATGGACGTTAAACTCGGAGGTCCCGCCTCTTAAATAACCTGAGTTGAAAAGGGCGTTAAACCTATACCATTATATTTTATTTGTTCTTTTATCTGTTCAGGTTGTTATCGGCAACTCCTTCTTCACCATCTTCGTGTAAATAAAATGGTCCGATAAACTTTTCCCGGGCAATGTTGTTTGGTAGGTGGTTGGCGGGTGCTCAGGTATGGTGGTTTTCTCCATCTTTCCCATCAAACATCTATCGGCCTTATTTTCCTTGCACGTTACAGTCTAGCTACATATTATCTTATCTTTGACACTTACGTGACCCATTTTTATTGCAAGTGTGGGTGGTTGGTGGGTGCTCTGGTGTGGTTTGCTTGTTATTTCCTATCAAACATCCATCGTCCCTATCTCCACTTTTTCTTTTTTATGTTTGTTACTGTCTTGTAACTCCTCTAATCTTCCGGCGCTCATATGACCTTATGCAGTTGCGAGTGCGGTAAAACCTCTACTAAAACTAAACACTTATATTGCAAGTGCTGTAAAACTCTTTCTAAAACTACCAAACTTAATATGAGGTTGGAGAGGGGGGGGGGGGGGGGGGGCAAGCTGATCGCAGTGTCCGTTGACGAAGACAAGATCCTCATCTGTTGTAGCGTTCGTCCGCTAGTTCGTCTATTTGCGTCAATGTCTGCCAATTTGTTATTCTGAAGATTGTTTTCCAATTTATACATTGTACTATTTATGCGACCATTGTAAACAAATAAATATCGCCCCCCTCTCAGTATGCCCGCTTCTCATCCCAATGGTCATTGTCTTCCGACCCAATAAAAAGTAACATTAAACGGTCATCGATTGACGCTCTGGGAACAGATCCCATTTCCTTGTCCTAGGGGATGAATTAACAGAGCCAATATATGTCCTACGTTATCGGCGGACTGGGAGATCATAGTTCTGACAGATGTCACAAAGGATCACTAGAATATTCAAATAGGAAGAGTCACCAGCTGGCAATGTTAATTTTTTTCTATTTCGTATTGTCTGGTATACCCGGCATACATCCCACGCCCACACCATAGTTCGGATATAATAGAAGGCCTAATTAATGTGACGGGGACCAGCTCGAGACAAAAAGAAAAACGCTGTGCCTATTTTTTGGGGTCTTTTATTTGATGTTTTGTGTGGTTATGTCTTGCCAGACTCAAACGATTGTAGTGACAAAAAAAGACTTGGCTCAGATATATAAATGAAACATTGCATTTGTAATAATATAATATTTAGCGCCCCCATCGATTCAACTTGGCTTATTTAGGAGGTGGGCTGTATCAGCCCTGTCAGGGTCAACTGGGGCTGAGAAGGACACAGCGTCCCACAAGGAAGACGAATAATATACTCGTTGCAAATTTATATATTGTCTTCACCCAGGAATGTGTGTGGTTGGCGGGTGTTCTGGTGTGGTTTGCTTCTTCTTTCCTATCAAACATCTATAGTCCTTATCTCTCCTCCTTTTTTATGTTTATTACTCTCTCGTAACAACTCTAATCTTCTGGCGCTCATATGACTTTTTGCAGTTGGGAGCGCCGTACATCTACTAAAAGAGAGAGAAAAAGAAGAAAGATTGTGAGCGAGAGAAAGGATTAAGGAAAGGCAGAGAGAGAGAGGAGAGGGAGGGGGAACACCGAGAGAGAGAGAGAGAGAGAGAGAGAGAGAGAGAGAGAGAGAGAGAGAGAGAGAGAGAGAGAGAGAGAGAGAGAGAGAGAGAGATTGAGAGAGAGAAAGGAGTGGGCGAGAGAGAGAAAGGAGTGGGCGAGAGAGAGAGAGAGAGAGAGAGAGAGAGAGAGAGAGAGAGAGAGAGAGAGAGAGAGAGAGAGAGAGAGAGAGAGAGAGAGAGAGAGAATTACGTATGCGTGTACGAGCATAATAATATTTTGTGTGCTCGTTTAAGAGTCTATGTATTTGTGTACGAGTGCGTGTTGCAGAATATTGTGCACAATGTATTTTATAGCCTATGCATATTCGCGCTTACTTTCGTGTGATACTGAACACACCATTGCAGAAGAACGTTATGTATGCATTCACTTAATAATATGTTTTATAATATAGTGCATTTACAAAGTCAAATCCTTTCGATATGTGGGTGGTTTGCGGGTGCTCTGGTGTGGTTTGCACCTTCTTTCCTATCAAACATCTATCGTCTTTATCTCCCCTCCTACTCCTACTATTTTGTGTTTGTTACTCTCTTGTAACACCTCTAATCTTCGGCACCTATATGACCTTATGCAGTTGCAATTGCCGTAAAGCACTTACTAAAACTAAACCTTTCAATTTCTACTTTACAGTATAGCTGCTTCAGCTTCCGCAAGCTATGGGCGTTCACAGGTCCAGGATTCCTCATGAGCATCGCCTACCTTGACCCAGGGAACATCGAGTCTGACCTCCAGTCGGGAGCTACTGCCAAATTCAAGGTTGGTCTCGTGTTAAACCTAGTTTTGTGGGCGGTTCGAGGGTGCTCTTGTGGTTTTCTCCTTCTTTCCCATTAAACATCTATCGTCCTGAACTCTCCTCGTTCATTTTTTTGTGTTTGTTACTCTCTTGTAACACCTCTAATCTTCGGCACTTATATGACATTGTATTGCAAGAGTCGTAAAACTCGTACGAAAACTAAAAGTCTTAGTTTTGTTTTGATTTTTATCAGTGTGTTTTTGTCGTGTATGAGGTCTCGTCTTTCTGTCCACGTGATTTGTGGGCCGTCGACCTGGCATATTTTCTCATGACAAGTATCGCCTTTATTATAAGTGCACGTGTCCGCTCTTTGCGTTCTGCTGCACTGTCTGGTAGAAAGTAATGCCTTATGAAATATTTGCAGTGACAATTTCTTCAAACTTTGAATGTTTTTTTTCTTCTCAAAAGTGTTTCTCCAAACCCAACCAACTTCCAACAGGCATTGTTTTGGAATGGAGATAGATAGATAGATAGATAGATAGATAGATAGATAGATAGAGAGATAGAGAGATAGAGAGATAGATAGATAGATAGATAGAGAGATAAATAGATAGAGAGATAGAGAGATAGAGAGATAGATAGATAGATAGATAGAGAGATAAATAGATAGATAGATAGATAGATAGATAGATAGATAGATAGATAGATAGATAGATA